TAAACATGGACAGCTTTGGAAACCCAAAGGGGCAGTTCTACTTTGTCCTCTGGGGTCCCTATGAGTTGGAATCAACTCAATGGCTGTGGTTTGACAAGCTGGAGTTAAGGCTTTGTTACCAGTATGGGCCATCTTTCTATAACTTAGGACAAGCAGGTTCTCCATTGGCCTTCCTTGAAAGATACTTAAATACAATGCCTCTCCTTTAAGGTCAAACTTTCTATTTCTCTCAACTATGATTGTAGAGACCAGAAGATGGACATCTTAAGGATAGTACCAGTTTGTTAAGTATTTACCTTAATTTTCCACATCTCACAGTGTAGGAGCTATCTTTCGTTCTTGCTCGCATTTTCCAGTTCCAACTTCTTCATAAGAATGTTCTGTAATGTAGCAGCAGGAGAATCAGCAGCTGGGGAGAGGTCTGTGTAGGCATAGGAGGAGAAAGGCAGTAGAGATTGCAAAGGACAGAGACACAGAACGTTGATGAAGCTGGCAGAAGAATAGCAGAACAAAAGGGAAGGAAAATAAGAACAGAAAATGATGCGAATCACATAAACTAAGTCCATAATTTCTTAAATCAGAGATTTGCAGCAGGAAATGTTGATAATGAAAGGTGCAACTACTGTGGAACAGAGAGAATGATAAATGTTGTTGTTGTTAAATGCTGTCAAGTCGGTTCCAACTCATAGTGACTCTGTGTAGGGTTTCCAAAGAGTTTGAACTGCCAACCTTGCAGTTCAAACTGACTTTGCAGTATAGTGTTTATCCTATAGTGCCACATAGTGCCACACCAGGACTCCCATATTATGAATACCCTCCAGATTAAAAAAAAAAACAAAAAAAAAAAACACATTTGAGTAAAGAAGGGTGGGCAATTCTCCTCTTCTTGGATAGCTCTCTGTGACTATATTTTTAAAAACCAACCATAACTGACTGCCACTGGCCGCCATCCTTGTCTATTGAGGAGTAAAGGAATGTATGTAGCGTGGGATGGTGTAGAAAGTTGCAAGGTGGCATGCCACGACAGGTTTTTATTTCATTTCCTTCAAGCTCTGTGGGTGCACCACACCTCAAATTCCCAGCTGTACTCAAAGATAATGAGAAAAATTATTTGTCTGACCTCATCCTTTAATTTTTTCCCCACTCATAGCTTGAGCTTTCATTAGCTTTCATTTTTCATTAAGAGAAAAATCAAAGAGTGAGAATTAAACACCTCTTGATTTATTTTCATACTGAAAATGGGAAGTTGAGAGTTGTGGGGCTGGATGAATGAAGGGCCAGTCGAGGAGACCACATCAGCATGCAGGGACTGGACGCTTCCTCCTCCTCTTGAAGACAATAGGGAACATCTTAACAACCAGAAATACTTTGAATCTCCACACAGATTTACCTCACTGATGTAACCGTACAAGTAAGGCACCTTGCACCAGTTAAGATAATTGGGTCTCAAATCAAACTGGGTTATTCTCTTTTCAAGCAATAGGATTGGGCTAGCACTAATCCTTTCAAAACTTGCTTCCCAGCTCCCAATTCTGTGACTGTCCCAATAGACTCTACTCCTCAGGTATATTTTGTTGTTGTTATTGTTATGTGCCATCGAGTCAGTTCAGACTCATAGCAACCCTGCATAGGGTTTTCAAGGTACGGTTGATGGATTTGAACTGCCAAACAGGACTCAGGTATATAGAGTATGTCTGTTATTCCCTTACTATTTCTCAAATGGGGTCCTGGCATAGCTATGGACTGCTAACTAGAAGGTAAGTGATTCAAACCCACCAGCTGCTCCTCAGATACACTATACAGGGTCACTATGCTTTCTGAAAGTGAAGAGGACTTGAAACATTTACTTACGAAGATCAAAGAGCACAGCCTTCGATATGGATTACATCTCAATGTCAAGAAAACAAAAATCCTCACCACTGGACCAATAAATAACATTC